ATATTTATAAGCTTAATATATTGTAAGAGAATGTAAAAAAGATTTTTGAGCCAATTAAAAAATAAATTGATTTAATATTATACTATTTTTAGATGAGTATGATTTATGGCTATCAGTGTGAATTTTCCATAAGTTTGTCTTAATTTTCTACAAAATATGCTTTTAATGTTCGGGAATTCGTATGCGAAGTATATCGTAAAATATATCGAATTATATTTGCGCAGTCATATATATGTATGAGTAATACATGCAACAATAGGATTCCTCTTGAGAGTTAATCTCACGTAATATGCGCGCGCGTATTTGCTCATCCACTGACATATATCTTTGTGATTAACCTATTGAGCTACAATTTCATTTAATTTATCATTATTTTTCTTTGAACAGCTTAGAGAATGCTGTAATGTTGATTACCAATTTATTACTAATTATCTTTATATTCTTACTGTTATTCAATAAAATTGTAATAGATCTTAAAATATTCTGACAAATTAAAATTAATTATTTTAATAATTAATTTAGTTTCAATAAAGAAACTTATGGAGAATTATAGATTTATAGATAATTAACAACAGAATTAATTATTAAATTGATATTAAATCTCTGATATTGAGAATAAAATTTTATACAAATTTTATTCACTATTAAAAGGATAATACGGATACATTTGTTATGATACGAAGACTTTTGTTAATGGAATTAATTTGAATTTTAATTGAAATCTTAGTAGGAAAAGTTTAATATAAAAATGATAAATTAACAATGTACTCCTTTAAAAACTTTATAAACTTCAATTTTAAATAAATATTGGTTCTAAAAATTTCCACACTTGTTTTTTATATTGTATGACTGGAGTATTAAAGCTTTGATTGAGTTTAAATGTCATTAAAGTAAAATTATTACTTCATATAGAAATTTTGTTTATATATTATAAATACCAATATTAGTTGATGTCTTCTTTAATTCTTGAAGCAATTAAAATACGACTACAATAACTATTATTTGAAAAAATTATATTCATTTTTTCTTTTAATTCATGCTTCGTTGAAGAAAACATAAAGTGCAAGTTTTTAAAGTCTGTAATAATATATTATGATTAATTTTAAATATTGCACGACAAATAGTCAATTGAAGAAAATTTTATTTATACCTTTGCTCATATTTTACTGATAAACTTAAAAATTTTTATTATTAATATTTTTAGTGCCTTGTTCAAGATTTGTTTTTTTTTATTCACAAATAAATTATTCGAATAAACCTCACTACTCTCATGTTTAATGTGGCAATTCGTTTTATTTACATTTACTATATAATACTTAAGCTTATATTAGATTGTTAATGTTATTGTTTTTTAAATTAATATTAAACCAAACCATAATTTATAACAAAATCTAATAATGTATGTATTATATGTTCTTTTTCTGATAAAATAATTATCTGAATAAAATATTTCTTGAAGATGTTAGATTATTTGTGTAAGCATATCCAAATTTCTCTTGTAGACAATGAATTATTAAATCTTTGTTTTGTATTATATTTATTGTTATTTATTATATAACTATTACATAACAAATTTTACATAAGAAGCAGCTCGTCGTAGTACATTCGTCTAATTTTCAGGTTGGAAATTTTTATGGAAAGTACGGTGCTTGAAAAAAAGCGTATAATCTGCGTTTTTTTTTTGACAGCAGATGGGTTCTCGACGTTTATTTAACTCTTGCCCTATCTTATGAGTTTCTCTCAAGTTTCTCGAATCCTTTGAGTGTAAATTAGAGGTGCGCATTTTTCACTCAAAATTGTCGCTACTATGGAAACTCCGGTTAAATAAAAAAAATATTTTGTGGTGTGCTATTTTACCCGGTTCTTAAATAGTTAAAGTTGCCTTTATTCATGTAATTCACTGGCATATGCATATATTTCAATCAAAGTATCAATGTTTTAAAATTATAACTGTACTCTATACTCATTCGGCTTATTTTTCATTTTTGCACTTAATATACATTGCTTCTACGATGTATATAGTTGTACAGTTGAAGTTTATTAGTTTAATAGCCTTTTTCTTTTTTTGGTTAAAATACATTGTTTTTCTAATAATACATGGTTAATTAATTAAGTAATTAAGTGATAATTGATCCTATGTACAATATTTTTCTTAGAATTTTTTAAATATTAATTTTATTCAATTATTTTAGTGTTAAAGTGTGCTTTTTGTTGAAATGATAGATATAATGTTATACGAACTGATGGAAATACAAATTCATATGTAAACAGAATGTTATACTTAACATTCTTGTAAAATATTTGATCTATTAGAGTATTCAAGGTGATAATTCCGTCTTAGTTTAATGCTCATGGTGCAAGTAGAAATATACAAGCCCTGCAATTTTCCAGTGTCAGTCACAATTACACGGAAAAAATAGTTATCCGTCCTTATTCTTACTCATTCGTATCAGTTCATTATTCATCGTGCAAGCATATAAACGAGGTTACTGCGAGAAGGTCAAACGAAATATGATGTAACAGAAGTATTTTACATTTCTGATATGTCTTAACTCTCTAGCTTAACTGACAAGAAATCAAATTCTGTCTGCGTATCCTGATTAGGTCGCATATGTGCCACAGTAACTATTGAATTCACTGCAAATAATTATCAGATTACGTTTAATTTTTCGGTATCATTTTGAACAGTCCAATTACTTTACATTATTTTCTTTGTTTTTTTTTTTCATTATATTAAAGTGATAATTACGTTTTAAACGAAAAATTTTATTACGTACAAATAATGTAAAATATAATTATAGATATGCATCAACGATAAAAGTGGTTTGAAATATAATCAATTTTATACTGAAGAATGTTTTCAAATTTTTAATATTTAATTGTCACATATTTTTCATTACATTACATGTAATACGATACAAGATATTTGATTTTTTCTTCAAATATAATTAAATATATCTTAATTCCAGTAACGATACTTTCATTCAAATTGATATTAAGGATAAGAATAAGATAAGAATTTAGTTAATTTCAGATAAAATTACTCAAGTAATTAATTGTACATAAAATCTATTAAATACACTCATAATCCCTAAGAATTTTAATATTATCTCACGAAGAAAAATTGAATTCAGCCAATTTAATTTTTATCTTAGAAAGATATTATTTGAATTATATGTATAATAAAACTAATATAGAAAATATATTTTCTTTTTATTGTGTGAAAGTTTCCAAAGATATAAAATGAATAATTAATTCTAATTATTATATAAAATAATGAATTTTTATTATAATTTTTATATTTATTATTTTTAAATAAGATTTGATTTTTCATTATTTCCTAAAATATTCTTAAAAGTTAAATTTTTTTACGAAGATCATTTCAAGAAAAATTAGTTGATTTTTAAAAGTAGCTTAAATAACGCGCATTAACTCTATAATATTTTAATTAATTAATGAATTTAATGATCAAAAAGATTAATAGTTTGAAAACCTAATGAAATTTATATATTTCCCAACGACATTAGCATACAAATTAAAATAATAATTTTTATGTATTAAAAATTTCGTTAAAATTTTGAATAAAATTTATATAAAATTTCATTTCTTTAAAAGTAATAAATGATAATTCGATAATTAGTAAAATTTTGGTGACATACATTTTTTTAAACTACTTTTACCCTTTTTATCATTTTTTTATTATTAGCGAGAAAATAAAATAAAAAAAATAATAAATGTTATAATTGATTGTCTCATTTATTTTCTTGGTATATATGAAATAATTTTATGAATTAATATAATATTACATGAGTATATTAATTTATATTATTACATTTTCAAAATGATCAGAATAATAAGCGGTCAAATTTTTTTATAAAAAATTCAAGTCCATGTCTGTCATTATAGACGTTTTTCTGACAGAGTTAACTAGCTATGTAAATATTATTTAATTTCCTAGCTATCAATGATAAAAATACAACAGAGACTTAATCGAATTTATGTAGATAAAGTGCGTGGAATCTTACCAACAATCGAATGATATTTCTCCTTTTCTCTGAAATTATGTGCCCATATATTACGCGTAACAGATGAATAACATAGACATTCCTAATTACATAATTGGCCTATAGTTTAGTCTATAAAATAAATTCATTTTTTGTTTTTATATAATGTCTTAATGTTATGTTTGAAAGAAAAACTATAGTGAACAAAATCTCCAATCTCTCTCAATTTGGACTTTACGAAAAGTATTCATAATATTGAATTTTACTACTTTTATGTTTGAAATAAAATACTAAATCGTTTATTCTATGAATTTTATAAGAATTTCATTGTATATTTTCATATTTTTATTTATTAAAAATATTTTTTCAAATAAATTTGCTTTTGATTGAATAGATGTTTCAAATAGTTTTAAACAAATTGTTTATTTATTAATTTTTTAAAATAAAGAATAAATAAAATTTATATATATATATATATATATATATATATATATAAAATTTTTTTTTTCTTTAACGAACTTCATATACTATAGTAGGAAATTATTGTATTGATATCTTTCTAATTATCATGTATTCGTAAAAATGATCTTTTTTCTTAAAATTTATTACTTGTTTTATGTGACTCTTTTAACATATTAGATTTTCAATATATTATTATTTATATTTATTGTTTATACATTATTCTTATAAGAAATAAGTGTAGGTGATGCGAGAGACTATACATAGTAATTATGAAACGATATTTATTATTTTATTAATATTAATTGTTTTTAAAAAATTACAATAAAATAATTGTAGAATGCAGATATACTGACAAAACGAGTAGACTCTTAAAGATATAACGGGAAGAGAGAGGATTGTGTTCTCACTGGGTACCAGAGTAGGGATAGACGACGTTGCGAAAGAGACGTAAAGAGAGGTGTACGGGGAGAACATGATTTCGAGTTAGGATTCCACTTCCAGTGCTAGTTATTACTCCGCTTCGCCATCGTTCACGTCAATGTCTGATAATTAAAGAGGTGCGCGCGACGTAGGTAACTGTACCACATGTGCATCCACATCGAAATAAATCGCTAAGACTATACTTTTGACATCCTATATCTTTAAATATTGGTTGAAATTTTTTATAGTGCATGGAATTAGATAACAGTTCAAGTAAAACAGTTTGTTTTATAGTGTATTATCCATCAGAGACTCTTGCTTGTTACCTAATGTATATGTGTGTACTCAGTGCGTGCATTCGAAAGTAAGAATAAAATTGACATATAACTGTTGTTATGCATGCAAGTGTTCTATAATAGCTGTATACAAAGAATGTATCCTGTTTATTGTGGGTAAGTATGAAAGGAAAATATTTTGAAATAGCTCAGTGCCAGTGGACGCGTATGAGTACGTCCACGTGTTATCACGTGTTTCCAAGTCTTACCGCGCCGGGTTAATTCTACTTGAATGTATAAGTATTCCTATTACTTTTATAACGAAAAGGTAAATCGTACTTCAACTTCAGTTTTAAAAATGTTAAAAAGTTTCTGTTTAATCAATATACTGAATGAATGTAAACTTAATATTAAACATAGTACATATTTTATTCTATATTATATTAATAGACACATAATAGTTATTGAAATTTTATTATATTTTTTATTTATCATATAATTAGCAGAATATTTAAATTATGTATATTAGTTACATATGTACTAATATTTTATCTCTAAATTTTTCTCTAAATATAAGTTAAAAAATACATTGAAACTTAAATAAAATTAAAAACAATTTTATTAGTGCTATATAATTCAATCGCTTACTATTAATGAGTTAATTTATTTCTCAAAATATCTATTTTATTCGATAATAAATTGAAGTTTATACTGTAAATTTCCGTTTCATTTTTCACTTTTAAAAACAATATTTAAATTATTTTATAATAATTATTTATATATATCTATATATTAATATATACTAAATGATATTTAATTATATAAAAAAAGTATGAATCTTTTATTATTACGTGATATGTATTTTAGAATATTTTTCAATATCTTATCAAACATATATATATATATATATATATATATATATATATACTTATATACAAATCAAGTGACAGATTATATTTCTATGTTTATTTTAAAGTATTTAATCTATATAATTATATTATATAATTACATTTTTATGATTCATAATAATCTTATGTATTTTTATTCTATTTATTAATTGTATTAATAATTCTCGTATTAATATATCTGTTAAAATCTTCAACCTCAATATTTTCAAAATAGTGTATAGCTAAATAGATGTAATTTATTTATAACAAAAAGTATATTTTTTAGTTGTGTCGGCAATAATTATTATCCTTTAATATAATATGCAAGTAAATTTAATTTTACTTTTTTTTATCATAGCAAACATGTAATCAATCTTTGTTTACAAATTATACAATTTGATTAATTTTTTTTTTGTAAGAACAGATTATTTATTTATAATGTTATTAAATACATTATATTAAAATATATTGATAAATGTTATTAAATACATTACATTAAAATATGTTGATAATGTTAAATAAAAATATATCTAATAATTACAAAATTGAACAGCGTTCTGTATTATTTATTTATTCATAATTATTTGTTTATTTTGTCTTTAAATACTCGAGATAAATATTAAGATCATAATAAGTTAATCTATGTATATAAAAACTATGAAACTATACTAATGGTAATCAATAATGAAATTATTATTAAATAAAAAATGTTTTTAATTCAATACTCCTATACTAATACAAAAAGTTCTATGTTATTTGAATTATACATTAAAAATGATCTAGTAATACAACGTGCATTATGTATTTAATAATAGATACTGTTAATCTAGATTAACTATTAAGTTAATTATTTCATGATTTGAAATAAAATATTGATATTAATTATTTTAATTATTATTGATGTTATCAGTGAATTACTTTCATTTAGTAAATTATTATTTGCATATTTTAATTTAAGATTGTTTAGTATTCTTTTGTATGCATATCTATATATATACTTCAAATATATACTTCAAATATATTTTCGCTATATATTCTTCAAAAGTATATTCTTTTGAATGGGTTTTTAGTTAAATTAGTTGGATCTTATATAATATATTCGAGTTTTAATAAAATGCAAATAAAAATATATTATTATTTATAGTATCACATTTTGTACATGTTCTTAAACTATTATAATAAGGTTATTATTTTTTAAATTATCAAAATTGAATTCAAATAGTGCAAATTATTGTTATACTGTGTGAAACTAATGTACAAATATACAATTTTATTACATAAAGAAAAATCATTTTATAACTGCAAAATATTGAAGTTATCATTTTTCTTTAAATTCATTTACTCAGCTAAAATGAAATATATTAAAATAAAGTGAAATTTCGGAGTCAATTAATTGTTAAAAATTTAGTTTTTAATAATAATAATATGCATGTAAAATGATAATATAACTTTTTTAAAATATAAATAAAGAAAAATTTAAAGAATTCACGAAGTGGATATCGTTACGACAATTTTTAATACATTATACAAATTGCTTTATAATTATCGATACCCTATTTGATATATATTCTGATAATGTATACAATAATTGAAACTTGCTACAAATAAATTAAAATAAAATTTACAAATATTAAGAGATTTTATGGTTTTGCGATATAGTAAATTTTTTGCTTGAAAAGTATGATATACGCTTAAACAAAATATTTTCAAGTTAGTTTTTCAAAATGAAACTATAATTGCATTTTCCATTTCACTTCAGTTACTTACGGACTACAAATTTGAGATTATAAGTTTATTTTGAAATAATCTACATAATGAAAATTCTGAAATAGCTCTAAATTCAAATCGAAAATCGCACATTTGTACACTTAATCATATACTCAAGGAATTTGTAATCAATCAAAACAATAGTTAAACAGCCAATTATATCAATCTATTAATCACAGCTCTTGATGAAACGAATACAATAATGTTTACTTGGCGATTCGGTAAATGATAATAAATATAGACATATATTCATATGATTATAAATGTAGAAAAAATTAAGATTTTAAGATAAATGTAGAGTCTGAAAGATTTGAGTTGATTGATATAATACAAAATATATTCGGTTTTCATATAAATAAAATCTTAATTTTAATATTAATTAATTAAATATAACTAAAAATTTTATATAAAAATAAATAAATAAAAATAAATTCGTAAATGTATTGAATTGATATTTTCTTCGACTAATTTTGACGAAATTAAAAATTAGTATTTGTATATATATATATATATATATATCAAAATATTACATAAATCTTATTTATAAATATGTGAAAAAAAATTTTAATTTATGACTTTTTATTAATGCACTACTTTCCTTTGAGTTACTAATTTGACAAATGACATAAATATTTTTAATTTCACATGATTTAACTCAAAATATAATATATTTTGAATATTACACTAATTTAATTAAAACAGATAATAAAAGAAAATATTTAAGTTTTGATTCTCCGGTTTTATTTTATTCTCTCTTTCTCTCTCTCTCTCTCTATCTCTCTCTCTCTCTTTCTCACTGAGCCTCTCTCGTCTCTTACTTATTTTTCATTCTACTATAGTCGCACAATATTCATTAAATAGCTCATAGGTTTTTTAATCATTTAGATTTTTTTCTCATAGAATGGAATTTCTTCATTATTTCATAAAGAACACAAACATCAATTGATAACAGCCACTGTATAATTAATTAAGATATATATTATGTTCATTTACTTTATTAGAAATAATATAAAACTATATTGAATACTAATGTTAATGTAATATTTAAATTCAATTTATATTAAAATCAAAAGTGATCTATGATAATAACATGTCTTTCAAACTCATTTTTCTCTCTTTTCAATCATTAACATTATTTAATATCCATTATTAATTCAATATAGAATATTACATATGTTAAGTTTGTAAAGTTAAAACATTTAATTGAAATTTAACAACAATTCTACATGTAAAGAGCGAGATAGAAATATATAAGAAACAGTAAAGATTATCCATGGGAATTGAAACTGAAACATGTTTAAAATATTTGAATGAAAAATATTAATAAATTATATTTTATAATTTTTTATTAGAAAAAGATAATTTACTTTCTCTGTTTAACCATAGATCGTTTTATTTCTTCAATCGCCATGACGATTATATTCTGTTTCTTTCAGCTGTCACTTTTTAAACTATAGTATTTATCAATGCTTAGTCTTATGCGGCAAATTATCACGTAATCAATATCAAAACACGTGCTTTAACCATTACGTAAACATATGAGGCATTGAGATTATAAATGAGTCAGTAACGTTCATAATACATTGGGTAAAATTGTAGGCTGTAAAAGCTGAAAGGGTATTAAACTTATTTTAATGCAGATTATTAATATTTTAAAAATCAAAATGAAATTATAAAATAAACTAGTTATTTTTAATTATATATTTAGGAATAATATTGTAAATACAATATATATTTAAAAATATATATTAATAATATTGTCGTAACATTTTTTAGAAATTTAGTTTTTAGAAAAATAAATATTAACAGATACAAATTAATGTTTTTAAACATATATATACACGGAAAATAAACAACATTTATTCTTTCAAAACGTAATTAATAAAATCTTTACTTTTTAATGTACGTATGATTTTTTTGTTTAAAAAAATTTTATAATAACATTTATATTATTATAGCATTCTTATTATCTTGTTTTAAGTTATATGAAAAAATAATTTTTAAATGTTCAGTTTAAGAAATGCACTGCATGATATTCATTTTCTAGAATATAATATCAAAAATATAAAGAAACATAATAACTAATGTTTTTACAAAAAATTAAATAACGAATAATACTCATAATAATGAATTGTGTTTGTAAGTAATAATCTCAATTGATTTATTAAAGTAAATACTCAACATTTACTGAAATATCCATAAATTCATAATTAACTACAATAAGTTATAGTAATATCAATAAATAATATATAGGTATATAATGTTTTATAGTTTTTTAGCTTTAGAAAGAATATTAAAAAACAGTAAAATTATTAACTTTAATAGATATTTTACATACTGTAGAATAAAATATTTTATTTAACAATTACATATTTTGTGAAGATTTTCAATGTTTATTAAAGATTACATTCGTTATAATAAGAAATTTTAATTCAATAGATTCATATTCACGATATATTTACCACCATATTATAAAATAATTAAAATTAGCTATTGAAAAAACAATATTTTGTAATAATTAACAAAATAATAAGTATAATGTTTATTATAATTATTATAGTATATTTATTTTATTATAATTGTAATTTTCTAAAAGAGATTGACTATTAGCGGAGAAAAATTACATATTCTTTGTTCTTAAATGTAAAAATACTGAATACCACTATAATATTCACTTTACATATTATTTTTCTTTTAAATATTATTATTTGAGATGAAATAAAACATTAATTATGTTTTTATAATAAGGTAATTAAAAAAATATTAATTTTGTCGTACGATCGTATATCGGTTAATATATAATATACATGTAAATATTATATAAAATAAATATAATGGTAATTAAAATTACGTTTCAAAAAGAGAAAGTATATTACAATCTTATAAAATTCATAATAAATGAAGATATGTTAGTGTTTAATTCTCTTTGTGTTATTAAACAAATTATTAATTTTGTAGTGGTAACAAAGATAATCAATGAGTATAATTATACAAACAAATAAATAAAGAAATTTATTAATAAAGATATATTATAATACAAATAAATAAATAAATAATCTTATATATATATATATATATATATTCATTTAGTATAACTTATATTTCACATATATAAGGATATATATATTAAACAATAACATTGATAGGCATCCATTTTAATATTATTAATGTTTTAGAGCAAACATATTTTATTATGATGATTAAAATTTAAACTGTTGCATAAATATTATTGTAACACGAATGTCGATAAAGTTATATCCAAAATTAAAATTTTTTTTGCCATCAGAATTACAGCATATTGCTTATATTTAGTGATCATCTTGTACTTCGTAATTAATTTATATTTTATAAATATATTTTTTTATTTGTGAATCTTTGCAATTTTTGAAAATAAAATTCTGATATTTTATGATATATATAATATTTTGTTATTTTCTAAGGGAAATTGTGTATAAATAATATTTAAGTTATACTATAATACATAATTTTTAATTATAATATATTAAATATTAAATACATTATATATTAAATATATTATAAATATCCAATAGAAATAAATGCCTTCTATATATATTTAAACCATTTTTATTTTAATCTAATAGATTTTTAAGTAATTTAATGTTTATTTAATGTTGATTTTCTTATTAATTTGTCAGTGTCGAGAAGTGACTTTGTCTTCGAGTGGCCAGGGAGAAAGTAGAACGGAGAAAGAAAGTCCAGATGCAGTGGGAACGTAGATTTTTAACCATTGAAGACAACCTATTTAGTTCGCATTAATCTTCATATATGAAAATATAAGAGCGAGAAAGAAGAAAAATACGAATACCCATTTTGGGGAAACTTTCGTTATTCCAAGGACACAATGGATTTTAGAAGTTTTCTAGGACATTTTAAGGTGAGAAAATAATACTCTATATTTAACAATGAAATGGTCTTTAAATAAATACGGTATCGATGTTTAATGCCTTTATTAAGTAATATTTCCACTGAAAATAAATTTATGATGATACCTTCATGTAATTTTTATAACAAATTTGGTAATGTATGCTGTTAACGAAAGTGCCGGTATTATTTTGTGTTATTTTTTCACAATTATAGTTGTTTCTTAATTTTTTTTTATTAAAGTTAGTAAAATTCATCCAATTAATCTTTAATAAAATGTTGACATATCTGTTGATTTTTATTATAAAATTTCGTTACTAAAAATTGGATGAATTAAAATATATGTTTTTAAACAAATACAGCCTATTTATTAGTAATATAAAAAGGGATTAATTATTAATTACTAAGTTAATATCTTGCGATTAACCTCAAATATTTCCTTGGTTCAAATTTTTTGTTTCTTATTAAAATAGTATAAGATAAGTAATAATTTAAATCGAATATAGTTATAAATAAGATAGTATTTTAATAATAATAAAATAGTTAAGAATTTTTAAAATTTAATAATAGCAAAATCTAAAACAAATCAGGATTAATTTTTTATATCTATATGTCTATATTAATTTTAAATTACAAAACTTTTATTAGTTATAATTTTACATGTACTTATTGTATATTAGTATATTTATTCAAAAATTCTTGTAAATTAACAACTTTACTTTTCTACTAAAAAAAAGAAATATATTTGTAAGAATACATATTTAATGAATATAAAATTGAATGAAGAATGAATTTAGTAAGAGCTCTAGTAAATACCATCTATATAATAAAATTAAATTAAAACAAACTAAATTTACAAGATTTTAATAAAAGAGATATAAAAATAAACATAGAGACGTATATTTAAATACCTTGATATGAGGGGGTAGGGATGTTTATGAGTAAGACCACTAAAGAGATGGGTCAGATGATAGAAAGAAAAAGAATTGACTTAGCAAAATCGAAATAAGACAGAGCAATAATCTGCATGCGTCGTAAATTTGATGGAAGCACTTGCCCATTACCATTTGGAGCTATATTTTATTTATACTAATTCTAGATAAATATCGATTTTATTTTATTTCTTATTTATTGTATAATGTAAAACAGTTATTGTTATAATCGTCATTACATTAAAATTATTCGTAATTTTTAAAATATCTTAATTCTTGTCTATCATATTTTGGTACATTTTGTATTAGTTGTTTCTATTGATGCTCACAAGTTTTAATTAATCAAAAATATTTTTTTTGTGTTTATGTAAAAGCTTTTTTTTAAAATACAATGTTCTTATGTTATATTTTTTTCTTTGTTATTACTTCTATTATTTTGATAAATGATTAATTTTTAATATATTGTGATATATATACTTAAAAGAAATATTTCAACTTTATATAGATGAGTTAACAATACCATTATTATAATATCCTGAGAAAAATTACAAATAAAATAATTTTAAATAACGAATGCATAATATAATTTAAATGTATTTATATGGTAAATACCTGATAAAGTTCCTAACAAAATATAATACTTATATTTTTCAAGATTTACGTAATATAAAAAGTATATGATGAATTGATATTAAAATTTCAAATAAATTAATTAAGTAAAATGCTTCGTCATTATTATTCAAAAATCAAATATTTAACTAATACTTTTTAATCATAATTTATTAAGTTAGTAATTTATTAATTGTGTTCTAAAATTATATTGGATGTGAAAGAAATTATGAAATAACGAATATAAGCTAAACGAACAAACTATCTAAATGAATATTTGCTTGACATAAATTAAATGTGAAAGAACAATAATTCAATTCATTAAAATTATATTATGATTAATATCAATTTATGAACAAAATTTAAATATAATACAATAAAAAATATAATAAATTGAATAATATATTAAAACTATAAATTATAAAAGCGTACTAAAAAAAATTATATAAATATTTTTGTGAAATTGTTTAATTCTTCTCATATTCATCTCTTCAGAAAATATAGAAAGCACAGCTTAAAATAATTTACACTAAAATATTATTTTTATAAATTAAACGAAATAACTTTATTATAAATTTAAATTTTAATTAATTCGTATATATATGTACGTTAAATTAATTATAATTGAATTAAAATATTGTGAAGTCTATATTATGTTTTATTCTTAAATTTATATATTACAATATACGTATAAATAAATTGATAACTAGTAAATTTAAAGTATTTCATATTTACAAATGATTTCGTTTATATATATAAAAATTATTTTAATCGAATAATGTACGATTTATAACTACTTAATTTTTTTTTAATTAGCTAATTTTATTTAGATAAAAAGTAAATATTTATGTCATATATATATATATATATATATATATATATATATATAAGTAAACCTGACGTTTACTTAGTGTTTATTTCGTACAATATAGGCTCCATACACATATGTAATTCAACTATACGGACGGACAGAAAATAATTAACGTTAATCGAAGAATACGAATATAGCAATAGATACAAAATGTTTTAATTTACCAATTATTTCTCCTAATATATACATATTGTTAGTTTAAATCAAGTACATAGTTATCATTAATACATATATCAAATTTAAGAAAATCTTTATTTTAATCACGATACATTCTATCCATAAATATATTGATTAAAGAAATACTAATAGAAAAAAAATTTTTTTCAATTTTTTTTTCAAAACAAAATATATACATAGCATAATTAATGGAATTTAAAACTATTGATATTGTTTTTTTTTTCAATTTTATAGTTTCCAAAACATCATGATCTTGATAGTGTTGTTTTTTTTTTTAAAATCCTTTCGACAATATTAACTTATCAATTATCACGCTTTCAAATTTAGTAAAAATTTCTTTAAGAAAATGGGATAAATTCTATATACATTTCATGTTTATATCTGCGCGCGCAAGAATAAGGTAGATATTGTACTGTTATCGATTACACAATTCAAAGAAGCTCTGAAATATGTCTAGGTAAGCCTCATTTAATGACATTAACCTTATCGAACTTCTTCGAATTTATAACATACAGTCTATTGTTTTTTTCTGTAATTCAATGTCTATCCATTTCCTCTCAATTGATTTTTTTTATCTATTTTTCGGTATACCCATTGAGTCAAATGGTGACAAATTATTTATGGTCAAATTTAGAATGGAAAATGTGTTTACAAACATTGCTAAAATATAATTTTTCGATCTTGCCTAAATTTAAAACCTGTAACATTTTATTTTATTTTATTACCAAAAAAGAATTTATAATACTTTTATTACGTGTTGAGATGAATTTATTAAATTGCTAAAAAAGAAAGCTTGTTTTAAGTCAGTAATACTTCTTACCAATATGAATCTACTTGAGTTTCTAGAAATAAGTACTTTAAAAGTAAAGATTGAAATTTTAAAATTATATTATTTCAATCATAGGATTTATTAATTTTATTGTAATACGATGCCGTAAAGTTTTGTTTAGATTTGATATATTTCGTTATATATTGAATAATAAAACATTTATAAAAAATTTTACAATTTTTATATAAAACTTACCGTCATATTATAACAAAATCACAAAACTATGAATATTGATATTTAATATACAAGTAAATATATGAAACTGAAGATTTTTTTTTCTTAATTTTATTTTTAAAAAATATTATTTAAATTATAGAATTATATTCAATATAAGTCTAGATAAAGTATTTTATTTAATTATGCTAAAAGAAATAATTTTCAAAATTAATAGTTTTAATTATTTTCATTTATGAATAATTTTTTTTTATCTTTGGGTGTATAATTAACCAAGTTATAATATGTGAATTACTTATTGCAATTAATTTACATGGTTTCGTTGTTTTTTATTTTAAACTGACCATGCTAGCCTAGTTAATCGATCCGTCACTCGTGTTGTTACTTCCATGCATCACTTGCTTTCTTTCTTTACTCCGACTTTGCTTCTTGAACTCATACAAAATCCAATATTTTCTTACGATAGTATGCATACTTTAGAATTTACTGATAGAAGGAGTGCAATTTTGATAGAAACTTTAAAATATTCACTATCATTATTATACTTATTGATTGTGCTCTATAATTTAGAATGCATTTATAAATACTATTTTATTAAACAAATATATGGGTTGTGAATTTTCTTGGATGTGTATAATATTATGTCAAGGCTATAATTCTTTTCTGCATGTTATAGGTATAAAAAGCATCTTTATTCGCATTCATTTACGCAATACGTATCACTTTTTTAAATCTTAAAATTAAATTTTCTTTAAAATTATACATATTATTTAGTATTTTGTATGTATTTAATAATATAGAAATGATGATCCAACATAGATAACTTTTTTTTTACTTATTACTAGATTATATTATTTTAATAAAATATAGTACAATGTTTCTACTTTAATAATAATCAGTTTATGATTAATTCAATAAGAACAATATAAGATTATGAGTAAAAATTTTTCGAAAGAAATGAGAAAAAATATATATTAATTATGTTATTCAATGAATTAATAATATACAGTTTTTATAAAGAGTTCAAAAAATAAAAATAATTTAATACTGTTAAGTTACAATTTTAAACAAGAGATAATTAATAGTTCCTAGTATCTTAGTGAATTAATTCCTATTAAATTACTTATTATATTCAATAGTTATACAAATATCAGAATGAGCAATATCTAAAATTCTAAAATTGTAAAAGAATATAAATAATTAAAATCAATTTAGTACTACTTATACTGATTCGAAAGCTTCTGTTTTTTCGAATCGAAAATTCTGTTTTTTCAACTTCAGATTCCTACTACCACATAAGTCTATACGGAAACCTATATAAATATCTATAGTGTTTGTTTTATTAAGAATACAAGAATTTCTTAATTTAAAATAAAATTAGTGCAATCATTAATTTTCCCAATTATTTTTATTTCTAAAACTACAAGTTTTAGACAAATATTATCTTTCAATCTGGTGACTTGGCATTAATTTAATTATCTAATCAGAAATTAGTAAATTTTAAATATTTATAAACAGTCTTCAATGTTATTAAAAAACGGTAATTATAATTGGAAGTTCTAGAGGTTCTATTAGTATCAATTTTAAGCCATTTTGTGAATTGAACTCTCCCGAGTGGAAGTAATCATTCATACAGTTTTTCATCCATATAATTAATTTGTATAATAACTACATCCTGACATTTTCTTCGGAATCTTACCAAATCAAACCACTTTCTTTTTTTATTTCTAATACTATTATACAATAGTTTTTAAAATTTATTTTAGCTTTTCAAAATTTCTTTTGTATAAGTATTCTCGGTATCACAATACTTTTTAAAACTTGTCAGATTATATTCAAAAAATATTTCTTCCAATCCCATAAATAGTAAAAAATAATATATTTAAGCAAATATCATTCTTTAACAGTTAACATAAATACATACAATTAAAATGTAAACAAAATAACTTAATCAATATATTTAGGGATGTAATATTTGATAATAAGACTTAAATTAAATATTTTTCATTTGATTTTTATCAATGAATAAAAATATATAATCAACATCTGCTGCTGCGAACTGTTCAAAATTGCTTCTTGAATATTTTAAAATTATTTGACAAATGGTAAAACATAAATATATTGTTCATATCCATAAGATTAAGTATATTTTACTTTCATTCCACTAAAATTTGTTTAATATGATATCATTATAGATATTTTATTATGAATAGTAATTGTAATAATTTATAACAAAAATTTAGTATATTAGTTTTAAGTAAAGTCTTATTAAAATTTATATTTTTATCTTAAAAGGAGAAATTAAAAACAGTAAGAAAAATAATATTAAATATATGGTTAATTAATAATTGACTTATGTATATTTCAAATAAATATTCACCAATGATCTTTATTAACAGTATAAATAATTGTAAAAATAATACAACTATAAACTTCGCAGAACTATGAATAATTGATTATGTTATCTTTAAGAATTTAGTAATTTATTTCATTAAACTTTTCAAAACTGAGGATATATTTTCTATATTTGTTTAATATACAACTTTATCTTATCTCCCCTTGTTAGAATAATAAAACTTAGATACATATCTTTATTTAGTATTTACAATTAACTTTTGATATTAAAGTATTTAGATTTATAAAATATATTATAATATATATATATATATATATATAATGTTTTATATTAATACAAAATTTGAAAAGTATTTTTACAAATACACAATCTAAACAGCAACAAAAAATTTGTATATAAAACTAGAAAGTTTATAATACCATTTCTCCTTTAATATTCAAAGCGCATAATAATATAATAAAGAATTTTTTTAACAACTTACATTAAAATCATTTATTATTTATTATTATTTTTATTATTGTTCTTTGTATTTTATTTATATTTATTTTGTGTATGCAAGGAACTTATGGGTGAAAATTGGAAAAAACATTACGAAATTTGATAATTTATAAAGTGGATAAAATTAAAATTAAATTAAATTAAATTAAAATCAAAAGTTATATTTAGTGATTTTAATAAAATTTGATAAGATATTGCAATATTACAATAATTTAACGATCGGAGAGAAATTCTAATGAGCACATTTTTTCATTTGTAAAAACTCTAACAATGTAATTTTATTATAACAAAAAATAAAGCTTTTGAGGGTGATTGTAGAAAGTCGTTTACTTTATTATAGTGTTTAACTTTCTGCGAATCAAATATAAGTAAAACCATAAAATTTTAAATTACACTTTGGTATCGGAATGCTAGTGCATGATGGTGAAAAAGACGAGACGAGCTAAGTGTAAGTGAGTTACTTCAAGGATGCTGAATAACAATGAAATTGGTGACTATTTGTTTGTCCTGGACACGTGCAGCATTATGGTGAGCTTGAATCTCATGGCAGCAGCAAAACTTCCTTAGTTTCATCCCACATTAACTCCTTTTCCTTATTCCGCTGTTTTTCCTTTTCTTGCCGCCTCTGTTCTTCATCCTTTGGCGATCACGATCATCGTTCGTGCAGCTGGCCAATATCCTCGTACCAGGATCAGAAAATCAGCCTTTTCAAATATCGTCAGCAGTGTAGTCATCGGTGTGTTCAGCAGTCGCTGTTGAAAGGATGTCCGAGTGTCGTGGCTTTAAGCCAATAAACCACCTGTGGAGCGGTGCTGCATCGACGGACGCTGACTCCGAGTGCTTATACGAGGAGATAAGCGGTCCTTCCGCCGAGGACTCGGTTTCCTCCATTTGCGTTCATCCAGCCCAGGCAACGACAGCCGCGGTCCATCAGCGCAACTTGAGGCGCAGCCGGAAACTGGAGCAGCAAGCCAATAGGTCAAAGCGTTCAGCAGCGGCAGAACTCTCAACTGATCAACATCATCATCAACAGCCGCGGCATCGCATACAGAGGTAAATTCAATTCAATTACATTCGGCCCAAAATCCAAATGCAAAATGAGCTTATGATATATTACATAATATTAAGTTTTCTTATTATTATATATTTTATATTACATAATATTAAGTTATATTATTATTATATATATTATATTACATAATATTAGGTTATATTATTATAATATATATTCTATTATATTATTAAGTTATTTAACAATTGGAATTAATATTATTCTAGTGTTGTTAATAAAGGGAGGTAGGCAGGTGATAAAATATTAAACACTTATGGATATTCGAATGAACAGCCAACAGCAGCATGCGCTGCGCCCCAGCAGCATCGGGCATAATCTGTCGGGCGGGATCGGTGGCATTGAGGCCCGTCAGAGCCAAGCGTCAACGCTCAAGTTGACGAGAGGACGCTCCGCGGCAGCTCGCTACCTTCAGACGACGACGACAACGACCACAACCACGCACTACCAGCAACCGGCGCCGGTGGGCTTCGGTGGGCCGCCCACCCTGCCCGGCCATACTGCTCCGCGTATACCCAGACACGGCGTTAGACCAACGACGCGTCACCACTTAGGGCCCCGGGGATCCTTCAGTAATGAGACGCAGGAAGAGGTACAGGAGGAAGACGAGGCGACTCTTAGGGAGTTACTTTTAAGGTCAGTTTTATGCTCACTGATTCTCATTATTTATATCTACCACGTGCCCCTGACTCGTTGAAGCTACAATTTTATTTGCTTATTATCTATTATATTATTATGCTATATTTATCATTATATTTTTGAAGGAGATAGTTATTGTCGGGTTTACTACAGATATTGTTGATACGAAGTTAATTAATTTTAATAGCCAAATGTCTGATTAATATTTATTCCGATGTTTCTATAAAATTTATATACGTACACAAAACTTATTGGCATTTCAAAGACATTTTATACAAAATATTATTCTTAACAATCTATGTACTGTTGTTTTTCAACAAATATAAGGCGGCAGTAGGTTTAATTATTGAATTATACTTAGATACATAGTTCGTAATTCTACCATACAGTGTTAATTTATTTATTTATTTATTCAAATATTGATAAAAAAAGTAAAAGTTTAATATAGTATTCTAATAAAGTTTCTTTAAAATACATGCAATAGTAATTAAAATATTATACATAATTTCAATATGATTATTTTAACTGTGATTGTTTTTATTCTATACTTTCTCAACATATAATTTTAGAATTGCTAAAACAATAATTTTATTCAGCAATAAAAAGAAGTATATAAAAATATAATGATATTATAAAACATAAATAGTATTATTATAAATAAATTCTTGCTTTATTCAATGAAGAGAATCCTATACTATAAAGAAGAAAATATAGAGGCTATAAATCTTCCTTTTTGATTAAATTGAAATTAAAATCACGATTAATTATATCTTCGGATTAAATTTTATACAAATTAATATAATTTATGTAGAATTCGATGTTACTTTGTTAAAAGCTATTTACCTATATATTATAATTAATATTAAATTTTTAAAAGGAATTATATATTATACTCACAGCAAAAATAATGACTATATTTTGTTTCACTTTCAAAAGTATTTTACAAATTGTATTATAAAAACTGTAGCTCATTAACTGATTAAAGTAATGGCAGTTTTAAAATCAAATATGTTCTATATTACAATCTAAAATTAGATAAGTGAAAATGTATTTCTTTAAAATTCTACGAATATGAAATATTGTAGTAGTTTAATATTTTTGTTATTGAAACATTTTTTTAAGTTACATAATAAAAAAATGTAACTAGTTATCAAATTTATTGACCTATTGTTTTTATATTAAATAGAAAAAAAATTTTCTGAAGAGTAACGTAAAAGAATTATATGGGCTTAAATATGGTTTATATATAATCTTAGTAATAATAATTTTAAAATATCTAAGATGGATTTTACAATGAATAAATATTTAACACATACGTTTTGTATAAACTATACTCTTATCCAATACTAAATATATTTTTGACGATAATATTCAATCTAACATTACCTACGCGTAATAGGTTAGGCTGTAATACATTTAAGCATCTTGTTGAGAGCAGAGGGCAAAAAAATATAAGAAATATTAACAATATACATATTAATAATAATATGAAATAATATTAATAATATAATATTGCAGTCAAGATTTGAGTAGAAAATCGAAAGTTTTTTAAACATACAGTCTTGAAAATAAAGTCTTTTATTTTATTTTCAATATTTTTGTATAAATAAAGATTTATAAAATACTTGTCATACATGTTAAGATAATGTACATATCGAGTAAAAATAAAAATTACATTCTTTAAAACTACGAAGGTCCATTTTAATTTTGTATTTACGGTAATTATATCGTATATAAATTATAAATGTCAATTGTGTATATAAATACATAGATCAATCATACTATTAATTATAGATAAAATTATTATGACAAAAAAATGAAATATAAAAATTTGATGAAATAATATTTAATCGATTCATTGTATTTTATTCACTTTAATTAATTTTAATTGAAATCGAATACTCTTAAAAAAATTAAATGTTTGATTTAAATATTTATTATTATTATTAAAAATATCAATTCAGAATAACTATCTCTTTCACATATAACCATTAAAAAACTATATTTGTAACCGTATCTCGTTAAAAAATGGTTTAAAAAATCATGACTTTAAAGAATTTGTATAAATAAATATTTAAAAACAATTAAAATTTATTTATTATTAATTAAGTTAAGCTTCATCAAATTTTACTCAATTAACTTACATCGCTTTATTTATAATATAATTTATGTATTCGGAAAATTTGGTTACGTAATTCTTTAAAAGAAGTGAAAAAAGGTACTAAATATCCCAACAAAAAGATTATTTTCATTAAAGAATTTGTAGGTAATATATATTTCTAAAAACACACAACGCATAGGTATTTCTACATAGCCCATACGTAAATTTAGCAGTTTCGACATGCTCGTGATAAATGTACTTCGGTCGATGAGCATTATTTTTCTTATTTATTTCTTTGTATTTAATATTAAAATGTTTTTTTCATTATTTAAAGTAACAGCATTACTTTAATTATTATTATATATTTTAATACAAACTATATTATAACAAACAATTGTACGTGTAAAAATACAAGAATATTGTATATAATATTGTAATACGAAATAAAAAAAGTATAATTATCTTAAACTTAATTATATTAAAGTACTCTACTAAAACTAATTACTTTTCTTATTTTATTAAGTTCACTGTATAATCAATTCATATATATATACACACAACATACACAGGTTTAAGCAATAAAGACTGAATTATAAAACATAATTTATTATATAACATAAAGTATTATTATTAATACATTTTTTATTTATTAAATGAAGAGAATTTTTTATTATAAAGTAGAAAATATAAGGGCAATAAATTTTAATTTTTAATTGAAATATAAAGACGTATAATTTAATAACTTACTTATAAATAAAAGTAAAGTCTATATTTATAACTGTTTTTATAATAATATACATTTATTAACAATATAATTAAAAAGTTTTCTTAAATTTAATGTAGTTTATATATTCATACCATTTAAAATTTATTTACAGATTTATAGTTAAAGTAATTGTTAAAAAATTTTTGTTTCAAATTCAGTTGAGTTATTGGTTTAATTTTGTAAATATTATAATTATGTTTGTTTTTAAAATGCATTGACTTTTAGTAATAATAAACTAAAAAATATATTTCTAACGTTAAGTAAATGAAAAGTAAAAATATTATAATTTAAAATTTTAGATAATATTTTGTAAAAACTACATATTAATAAATTCATAAGTTTATAACAAATAAATATTTTCAATATTAATTAATAACTAAGAATACAAGTACAATAAAATGAAAATAATCTAATATTGCAATATTTTGTTTTCCTATGACAGCAGATGTCTGTGCATTTCATTTAAATGGACTTGATATTTAATTTTAATGATATATTTTGAAAGGACATTTACATATTTATTAAATAATTTTTCAAAATAGGAATGCAATAATGTAGAAAGATATTCAGCTATCATCATTTATTGTTAATACACAACTTACGCGTGCTGTCTTAGCTATTGTGATATTCTTTGTATAAATGCAAAACATAATTTTTCATCACATTATTGTTATAGATACACTATATTATTTATTATCATATAATTGGGTAATCATTAATGCTGCCGCGGCGGTCCCAAGCTTATCACCGATTGCTCATAAATTCATTAATACGCATGACAGTCCCATAAAAACGTAAGATACTTTTAAATAAACTATTAATGGTGAATAGTATACTTAAATGTTAGAAAACAACACGTAACAATATGTAATAATAATATAAGCAAATTAAAAGCAATGTTACATCGTCCATTACAATTTAAATACTAAAAGTAAAATAATTTTTAAAAAGATAATTTTTTATTTTAATGTATAGTCAAGATTATTTTTCTTTTTCTTTACTTCGCGTAATGTACATAAAAAATAAAATATATTAGAAGTCATACTGAAATTATTGTGTGATATTAATATGTCACTTTTTGATATTTAAAAATAATATTTATGAAAAAATGCAGTTTTCTTTTTTATTAGTATTGAAAGGAACTTCTTTTGTTCTGTGCTCATTAAATTAATTGTAAAACTTTTACATGACTCAAGGCTAAGCATGTTTTTTACAGAATGAGGTAGAAAATCGATTGTTGTGAAAAATGAATAGTAATACTGCTATTATAATAATTTATTTACATAAATTTATTTAATTACCTTTATATATATGTCTATAATAATATTAATTCAAACATGTAATAAATCAGAAAATAATTGAATCCATTTTAAAAGCAAATATTATTAAATTAATAGTATTAAAATTATATAAGTATATATTATGATATATAAAATTTCCTTTAAATAATACAATTAGACTGATACACAAGTTTTATTTGCTTCGTTACTGTAATACACGTTATCATTCTATCGCGAACGTTCATGTGGATAATATTTTCTTACGAAAAATCACAAGATAAAGTATGAATTTGTAGTTTTTTATTCTTTGTAGGTCACATAAATTTTTTTTAAAAAATTTTACATTAAAAAATATTTGAGTTCACAGCGAATAAATTTAATGGGTTGCAAAATAGAAAACACGTACTTAATTTCGCAAAATCTACGGTACAGAAATAAACGTGTATCCCTAACTTATTTATATGTCCAGTCGATATTTAATCTCGGGTTCGCTACAAGATGTAGGATATTAAACTGATTTTTTGCACTGTTGGTGATATTTTTGCCAACTGCAGCATGCTCGTGCGTGTAGCTAAATGAAAAAGTAAAATTGCAATTGTAAAATTGCATTTACCGTGTACGATTGACTAGGAACAGTAGGGCAAGCCAGCGGTACATATCGCAACCGTAATTTTTAACATATGTTTCTTGTCTTATTCGTTATCGTTAAAAAAAAAAAGAAGAAGAGAATTAAATAGGATAAGAAAGTAATAAATATAAGAAAGGATTGAATAAAAGTAAAAAAATGCAATTTGCAAGTGTTAGGTACACTCATGTAAAATATTAAAAGACAAAGAGAAAAAGTATGACA